TGCATGGGATTATTCCTGCCTAGGTGCAGGACCTTGCACTTGCCTTTGTTGAACTCCAGGAGGTTCCTCTCCGCCCACCTCTCCAGCCTGTCCATGTCCCTCTGAATGGCAGCACAGCCTTCCGGTGTGTCAGCCACTCGTCCCAGTTTAGGATCATCAGCAAACTCGCTGAGGGTGCACTCTGTCCCTTCCTCCAGGTCATTGAGGAATATGTTGAACAAGACTGGACCCAGGACTGACCCCTGGGGGACACCACTAGCCACAGGCCTCCAACTTGACTCTGCGCCACTCACCACAACCCTCTGCGCTCGGCCATCCAGCCAGTTCTCAATCCACCTCACAACCCTCTCCTCTCCCTCCTTGACGCTCAGGAAAGAGAGCAAAAAAGTTCTTGCTCACCAGTTTGGATTATTTCATGCCTGCCCTAGGAAAACGAAAGCAAGCAAAATAGCCAGTGCAAAGCAACACTGAATCAATCCAACCAACTTTAGCTCTGATAAAATGCAAGCGGTCTCAGCTCTTAAACCCATCTACTGCACATTCAAAAGAGGAATGACCTAAGAAATTATTCACACATATAAACGTACAGGTATGCTTTATCTTGCGGCACGCATTTGTTTCAAAGGCTCAGCAACATCCCCATTAAAGCATTTGTTTTTGTAATTCTGCTTATGTAACATGCAAACAGCGCGCTTTGCTAACAGAGACAACCAGATAAGTCACGACAATCAAATTTGCAAGTTTAGAAAGTCAATGCAGCAGTAGCAAATCAAAAGTGCTTGTCCACAACATCTGTTGAACAGAAATGAAATCTATTTGCACAAAATCCACTCTGTTTCATTTCCTCAAAGTTCATCAGTAGCAGTACTATTACTTTTTGGTAATTCACATTCTTCTTTGAAATGGCAGTTTTGAAGGATGTCCTTATAATAGTCCTTGAGGTCTGCATAAATAGAGATGGTTTCATTTGAGTGATGAAACGGCATCAACTTTTCATTCAGCAGCATCTGCACTTGATACTCTTCTTTAGAGGTTTTCACTTGATCACAGTGATAAAGTACAAATACCAGGTTTGCTGCATAAGGCACAATCCGGCCACTGCGAAATTTCCGATGCATTTGTCTCACGTAATTGTTTGCCCTGAGAGGCTCATCATCTTTGAAGAAGCCCATAAGAGCAAGCAGTGGCTGAAGTGTCTCTGCATGTCCAATTTGTACAATCACAGGTGAAGAAATGGGCTTTGAACTAAAAAAACAAAATAAAAAAAAACAAACAAAAAAAGAACAGAGGATCAGAAAGAGCCTATGCTTCAAAAACCAGCATACCAACATACCGCACAGCAGTCAGTAGCAAAAGCATAAGCTTAAAGTAGATTTTGAACTTGTTTTACTCTGATGCCCTATAAAAGCCTGTTTGGGGAATTTTAGTACGCAGTAGGCTTTTTAAAAGCATCCAAGTTAAAGAATTTGTAAAATATATTGTAATAAATATAGCTAGAGATAAATAAACACGGTAAACAAAAGCAAAGATCAGATTCATGGCGTGCGCCCACATACCCTGTACATATCTGACTTTATTACTTGTACTTTTCTCAGTTACGGAGAGATCCGGTAAACATGCTACAGTTAATATTCTGGTTTGGGACTAAATATAATTTTATTTACAAATAGCATTGCCTCCTCCCATCAGGTATTAAGGGCAGCAAATCCCCAAGCCAGTTGCAAGGCTCTCTTACAACAAACCGAATCAAGCCCTTCGTCTTACGTGACTGGACTTCTCTTCCGCTGTCAGCATCTGGGAAGGCATCAGGACACCCCATTAACTCATAATTTCCCTAACTCAGATCCATCGCAAATAGGTATAATTATTCTCCCATCCCGGGCTGTGTTTGGAAAAACACCGAGATTTTTACTCAATAAGCTCTAGAGGTGTATGGATTTGCTTTAGTACAAGGCTATGACTGAAATACAACAAAGCTATTCCCAGAATTCCAAGTTGTGTTTGATATGAATTATTAGAGTCAATCTTTCTTGTAGTTATTCCCTGGCAAAAGCAAAACGTACCTGCATGACAAGGCATATAACAAACAATTAGGTGAGCTCATTCAGGGCACTATCCTCTTCACAGAGAGAAATGATTTAGTGTTAAAACATATTCTTTTTCCTCTAGCCTCCCTAAATATCTCAAATAACAAATTTTTTAAAGTCATTTTAATAAGTTTCTGCTTAAACTAATCTAAGATGTGGTGAAGATAAGCCTACAAATTGTTGGAAATTGGAAAGTTTTAAAGTTTTCAACATTAACTTCACAACTTTGGAAGCACAGATCTACCAGCACATTAAAAAACTACAGTCAATGCTGCTATCCTCTGACATAACCATAACCGCGTGATTACCTGCACAGCAAACAAATTGCTGATTTAACATGCAAACTGCTTCCCTTCCTGGCATGCCACCACCAAGGCAGAGTTTTAAGGAGAGTTTTTCTTGACTATCCCTACGACCACCAATACTTTTAACTGCGTCTCATACTAATACAACAATCATGGTTTGATAATAAAATACTGCTTTTTTTAAAAAAAAAAAAATATATAATTAGTTCAAGTTATAAGCAGGGCTACTGCTAACACTGACTTTTATCAATCAAGCCATTGATTCACATAGCCAACACTGCTCAAGAGCTGGACAGTTTGTTGGACAGTAGGTTACACGTTGTTCAACCAAAGGAAAGGTAACAGTTGACTTGCTGCACAAGGAAGCATCAGCCAAGAGGAATATCTGCCCCTTGCTCCAGAGGAGGATGATGGCTTCTTGGTACCATCTCCAGATGGCTCTCCCAGGTCACTCCAGGATGTGTAAATACACGTTTAGCTTTCCTGAGACAAAAGGCGATGTTTAGCAACACCTCTCGCTCACTATGGGCCAGTAAAGTCCACCCACAGATGAGGCACATCTTGATTGGTCTGAAAAAGAGGTGTCTCCTCTGCTTGAACCTAAACTCAGAAGCAACTGGAAAATGGTTAACTGAGGGACTTACCTGTAGATAAGAACTTTGTTCAGATAAGCAGTATTTTAGTAGGAGCACATGACGAGTTCAGTATTACTGGCTCAGTATAGCCACAGTGTTTGTGCAGTGTGAAATACACCTTGCACAATCCTGTTCCCTGGGGAGCCTACAGTCTTTTGACTATACTCCTTAGACGTGTGTGTGCATATACACACATACTCCCCCCCAACTTAGGCAAAACGTCCCTTGCAAAAAGAAAAGAGAAGAAACAAAAAAATCCCACTCCCCCCAAAAAACCAGGAACCCGCATCTGTTTCCTGTTCAAAATAAGTCAAAAGAAGTGTTAAAACCACCAAAAGGTTCTCTATGGAGGTTGTCACACTTTTTTCACCCCATACCTTTGCTGCACCACAAGGTGTGCGTTTACATCAAGCGCAACACACTTTGGCCCTTCTTCCAACTCCTCCAGAAGCAGAGATTCTGGCAGCATCTCTCCCCTTTTATTTATAACCCTCCCTGCTCCGATTCCCTCATTGTAAAGTTGCAAAGTTTTTCAGTCCTTTGACCCCTGTTCCCTTCCCCTCCACTCTTTGCTCCCTCCTTATTCTTTTGATTTAATTCATTTCTATCCTCCCTACCACCAAATTTTAGGAAGTCTTTTTACGTTGGAGGACACATTCATATCCCTCCTGTCAATCAACAAATAGGAACGGCGGCTAAAAATAGATGCCTAGAGAAGATGACGACAACTAGAATGGGATATTCTTCTGGCCTCCTAGATTTTCCAGCTCAGAGATCTCCTGAGGCAGATGTGGCTCCTTTGTATAGAGGAACTCTCAATGAATGTTTCCTCCACAAATTTGCCAAATCTCCCCTTGAATCCACGTAAGCGTCTAGTATTCACAACATCCTGAGGCAAGGAGTTTCACAGCTTCAAACACTGTTTTCTAGCTACCTCATCGTATTTGAGCAGGCCACATACAGTTTGATCCTTTTTACTCATAACTTCACAGTCGTCTTCTCTCCAAGTTGATAAATCCCAACTTAATCGTTTGACAACTTTGCCACCCTTTTCCAGTTCAACTTCACCCTAAGATCAGAGTATGGGAAATGCACAGAAGCAAGACATTAAGTCATTTCTCAAATCCATACTACATCCATGATGCTGCCTGTTATTTTCTTAAATCACAGCTGCTTATATCTTTTCTAGTTTGACTACAGAAGTTATTCCCAGAGAGTTATAACCTTGGAATTTCATTCCTACGCACTAATAGTTATTGCTGACTGGATTTGACAGACTTTTCCCCATGTGCATCACTTCAGATGCATCCATCTGCAATTTTCAAGCAGAGTTAGCCTCATAAGGTCCTTCCAATCAGGGTGAATTGTAGAACAACTTACTTGTTTTATCAGCCCTGAATCAATGTGCTGCATTTGCACTGCCATTTAATTGCTCGCCTCTTTCTCTCCATCAGTTACAACAAGCTGAGCAGCCCAGATCCTCGCAGATCGCCACCGCTGACCTGCCTCTGCTATGAAAGACAACCAGTCCCGCGCTCCATTTCCAATCTTTTTGTTCCTTGTTTTAACACTCTGGGGTGAACATCCAGCCCTAGCAACCTAATACTTTTCATTTGGACCCAGCTGCACGCCGTTATACACACGCTCACTTTCAAATGGGGTGGGTTTTAATCATACAGTTTACTAAGCAGGGAGCTAAGGTCAACGTGCCTCTGGAGTCTCCAAAAAGCATTACATAGTACATAAGCATTATTCACTCCACAAACAGGTGGATTTCTTCCCATAAAATTAAAACCAAAAGATTCAGAAATGCTAAGGAAGTAAAAGGATTTAATTTTCTGGCGGTAGATGCTGACTGTATAGTTAAGATTTGGCTTCATTTTCCAGTTGACGCAAGCAGGAATTTTAAGATGGAAGTAAATCACAAACAAACAAACGTACGTGATTAATTTAGTTAAGAGAGCAGCAAAATATGCGTTTCCAGAACAGGAGACACATTATAACATGCACACACACAAAAGCTCTAAAGAATAAGGAAAGGAAACTTCACGAAGCGTGGGAACAAACAAGCCAGTCATTCTCACTGTAACGTGAGTTTATTTCATCTTCTTTAGTCTCTCAAAATCCTAATGTCAACAGGTCAAACAACTTTGGAGAAGGAAGACTGAAACCTCTCCCACTCACAGCTATCCCACCATACTATTTTCATAAGGTTTAAGATTGTTTCCCCATATGATACACAGCCAATTTTTCGCTAGTCTCTTTAACGCAGTATGCTTGAAAACCTGCTTGGTTTCTTATCAATGCCAGATATTTGGTTCCTGTATAAGACTGCTGAAGCACCCTCTGCTCAGTGTTTGTACTCATGATTCTAGTTTAAAGTTTCATATCATACAGTAACGGCCATAAAAATTACCAGCAAGGTTAAAACAGTAATAACCTCACTTTTAATTATGAGGAAATCAGGAAAGATTGCCTCCTCAGGGCATGGACAAAGGCAAAGGTTATTGTTGCTCAGACAGTGCTGATAAATTCAAAACAGGAACACATAACACAATCAATAGAATATTGATAAATTCAAAACAGTAGCAAAAGCTAATAAAACAATAAACCCAAGACCTGAAGCTTCTTTCAATCTCAGCTCAATCTTCTTTATGAAAGATTCATGACTCAGCATTGCTTAAGAGTGCCAAACAAAGTTCTCAACATCCTACTTGAGCAACTGTTAATGATGTTCCAGTTAACCTCTGTGGTAATAGTAGTAGCAAATGGCTAGGAAAAGCACGCTGATCAGTAAAAAGAAACCTCATTTCCAACCTAAAAGTGAGATGAAGAGACTGTGCACAACACTTTGCCATAAAATATTAACCACCTGTCTGAAAATGATTGCTGGCTATTGGCTTCATATTTGTTTTATGGGACACTTGGACATGAGCAGAAGTGGCTGCCACTAGGCAGAACACACCACACACTTCATTCAAAAGATCTGTGGATTTCAGTCATAACCCTCTAAAAAAATCTGACCACAGCTAAAAATAAGGAAGTTATTTTGAACGTTCCCCAGCACAACCCCAAAAAGTTACATCTCCCTATGCAAAAGAAGTACTAGGGAGAAGCATGGATGCGTGATTTATCGTACAGGCAAGTTCTAATCCTCCCTGATCTTTGCAGACTTGGGTTTAAGCCTGAACCTCCTGCACCAGCATATGTATCCTGAT